ATTTGACGTGCTACTATCTTTTTTTGAGAAGTTCCACCTTTCCCCGAGGGGTGGATCCCATCTCTCTACACACATCCAATATTTAATTAAACTTAATAGTCGTATTAGCTCGGGGCGCAGACCCACAAATCTTCTTTCATATTCCCCACTTAACTTTAGACCCAGTCCGGCTCCAAATCCCCAGGTGGTCGCCTCCCTAAGTATGAGAAATGCAGCAGGAACCTCCCTAGTTTGAGCCCTCTCTTAAGGCGGAGGAGTGAAGATCATCAGATGAGTGTGTGTCAGAGCTGGAGGACGGTGGAGATTGGAGCGCAGGGACGCTCCCTACAGGGGTCGTGGTGAACGCCCCCACCTTCTCTGGGGCGCCTTACACTCACCTGCTCCTGGTACCCAAAGCAATAGAGCTTCCAGCGCAGCCATGTTTGAGCCCAGTCAGGTGATAGATCCCATTCGGGAGGTTGCCGGAGGGAGGGGTGGGGTGGGACGACTGACAGCGGCTACTCCTATTGGTCAATGGAGGGACGATACAAATAAGGCGCCATATTTGTTTGGGTCACGTGACGCCACCTCTTCGGACTGGAGAAAGCTAGGACATGCGGAGTCAACTAGCTACCTGGCTGAGGATCGTTCCTTTCAGTTTTGACCACTCCTCTGCTCGATACCTTCAGTTCTGCGTTCAGCGGGGCGGGTGGCAGAAATATCAGTGTTCGTTAATTTTTTTCATGTCTCTTTTACTCCATAGCGTTTGAAGTCAGCTTTTACTAAGCGCCCGCCGGTGACAGTGTTTTGCCAGGCCTTCTTCCAGAGGAAGAAGACCTGGATGCTCCTCCATTGCTATTTTATCCACTTGGGTTCTGTTATAATCGCAGAATCCTGCGTTCTGAATTCCCATTTTCTGCCTAACTCCATTGATTTATTTGCTCACTTACCCGACAATCGTTAATTGAACGGTGTCCTAGGCCCTACTTTTCAGGCTGAATAAGTTGCAGACCCTGTCCTCGAGTTCACAGTCTAATAACAAGTGCAGGTAAGTAATTAGAATACAGTAGGCTAAATTATAAGATGGAAGTATGCGCTGAAGAGCTGAGAGCAAAGGACGAGCAAAAACTTTTTCGGAAATACAGAACTGTAATCTGAAACCCAGTCTTAAAGTAACAGTTCCCTTTTACACCGAAACTTAGGTGGTTCCCCTCATGGTCTTAAACTACAGGCTCTTAACGTTTCCCCATTGTGTGTTTTCAGCTTGAGCAATTTCATTAAGTATTTCCAAACTATTTCACCTCCAAAGTGTGGTGAAAAAAGCAAACCCAAACCAATCCCAGCTCTCTTCCAAACCTCTTCTACCATAGGTGAATTCTTAACTATTCTCTGAAAACTAACATGTCTTTCTGGTCCATTATGCATTTTTTAAATGTAGTGACAAAAAAAATAAAAGAGACAATTCCAAGCAAGGTTTTTCCTGGCTTAATTTTCTCCTTGCAGATGTTTCTTTACCTGATTTTGATAATCATTATATTGAGAAACTGGGATTCAGTGACGGATTCTGGTGTGAACTACAATTCCCAGCAAGCAGTGGAATCAACCTGGGACTCTTCCTACCTCTGATTGGATATTTCTTTCGAGTGACAGCCCAATCGGCATTTGGGTTGTTGCTTTGCGGCGCTTTCCTCGGGGAACTGTGAGGGGTGGGGGAAACTTTGAAAGTTGGATGCTACAGACCCGGTACTGCAAAGATTCGTGTGGGGGGACATTCGGGGGGGTAATGGGGTGCGCTCATTATTTCCTGCCCCCTCTCTGGGCCCCTTTCTGTGTTATTACTTTCGGGGTAGCGGAGAAAACCTCTTTGGTCCAGTACACTCCCCCCTTAGGCCTGAGGCATGATAACGGGAACTCCGCCGCAAATATGGGGGCTCTTGGCCTTCTTTTGTGGGGGATGCTGGAACTGTGCTCCTTGATGGAAAAAAGTTCTTTTTAGGGGATTCTAGAGTGACGTTTTCGCCTCTTGATGCCCACCTCCGCCCTCCCATTTGCCGGCTGTTGGGAGTCTCGGCGGGGGAGCCGGTCCTTAAGGGAACATTGGGGTCCGCTCGCCTGTGGTGTTGAAGAAGAGTAGTTAAAGCGTGGAATCTGGAGTTCTTTGTCTAGATTCGAATGCGGACTCCACCATTTGCTAGCTGATAGACTTCACGCGTTTTTCAACTCAGTGCCTCAGTATTAGTCTGTAAAAGGGGTCAAACATTGGAAGCTCTTGGAACAGTACCTGGCACGTAATAAGGGTCCAATAAATATTAGCTATTATCGTTACTTACAGTTTTCACTGAACATCTTTCATGAGGATTTTTACTTTGTTGAGGAGGAAAGGTTTCAGCCTTCAGGATGGAATATCTTCCCTCACCCCTGATTATATGTGTGCGCACACACACAGAGCAGGAATTTAACAGTCTCTGGTGGAAGAAACAAGCCGTAATAATACGTTAATAAGATTATGCAACAAATATGTATAAAGTATGATGAAAACACTGGGTTGGAAGAGATTGACTTGGGGACAAGGTTTGTGCAGGAAAGTCGGAGTCAGGATGGCGCTTGTGTAACCTACCAATGTACAGTATTGTGGCTGGAGAGCGGATGAAGTGAGGCAACAAATGATGTTTTGCTGACAGAATTGATCTGGTAATGGCTGTTAACCTTGAGCTCTGTGTGTGAGGCACCATCCAAATCTTCTAACCTTCACTACATTCCTTTGGGGTAGATATTTGAATGACCTTTGTTTTACAGATGAGGAATTGAAGACCCCAGGAGGGGAAGTAGCTGCCAGGAAGGCAGGATCTGGGCCTTGCCATCAGATGTATGGATGAGAGGGAAATGAGAGACCAGTTTATGAAGGGTCTTTATGTGATCTTAAGAAGTGTGGAATTTATCCCGTGCCCTAATGGTCCCATGGGTGGTTTTAAAGGATGAAAGTGACAGGATTGGAGCAAAGTTTTAGGTAGCTACCTCCGGCAGGATTGGAGCACTGACCTAACTTTCCCAGACCAGTTTGGTGCTTCTTCCTGGCACATTTAAATACAAATGATGATACTTACCGTGTGACTGTGATAATTTGTGTATACATCTCTTTTCATCTTTTACTGTGAGTTCCCAAAGGGAAAGCAGTATGTTTAAATGATTCTTTACACCAGAGCCCAGCAGCTCAGCAGAGTGTGTGATTAAGAAGGGTCTCCTGAAGGAGCAAAAAAAAAAAATTTTTTTTGATGGTGCAGGAAATAACAAGAGGCAGCATGCAATAGTGCAGGCAAATGATGGGAGTGGCCCTAAGAAGGCTGAGATAGCAGAGTTGGTTATTGTTAAACAAGTCTGGGTAGTTTGGGTTTTTCTTTTTGATTGAATGTATCAGCCTATATGGTGTTATTGCTCAGAACTACCTGATCTATAAAGACACTAAGAAATGATACAGCAGATATCACTTGGTAAACTATTTAGGAAACGAATCGGTACAATTCCCACTGAGGGAAATGAGAGGGATGTATTTTGTGCTTATGAGAAGTGTGTGTGTGTGTGTGTGTGTGTGTGTGTGTGTGTGTGTATGCGCGTATGCATAGGCTCATGAATGTGAGAGAAAGTGGGAGAGAGGGAAGGAGAGAATTAATTTGATGCAGAGAATTTAGATTTTATGTAGAAATTTGGGCATAAACAGGTTATCTACATTTTCAGTACTATGTATTTTGTTCCAAAATGTTACTCCTTTTCTGTTAACAATATTGCTTTATCTCCTGGAACAATGGAGTTGCTGTTTCTATTCTATCCGGAGGGTATCTTGTCATCTCAGCGAGATGCACAGCCTCTTCTCTGCATGTGTTATGAAAGGAATCACCGTGATTGTGTTCTAGCTCACTGAAGGCACATATTTCATGAGTCTCATTTAGTCTTAGGTTCAGCAGTAAGAGTGAAATTTCTTGCATGTGAGAATGTGAGCAGCTAATACAAAAAAAAAAAAAAAAAAAAAAAAAAAAAAACAAAACACATTTCAGTTTGTAATTAAGACCTGAAATAATAATATCTCGTTTGATTCGGAGGTTTGTTCTGGCTCATAGAAAAAGGAGAGGTTAAATATGATTATGGACTTGTAGTAGGGGTATAGTGGTTAAGAGGATAAACCTTAGGGTCACTTCCTGAGTTGAAATTCTGAATCCACCATTTACTTTTTCTGGTGACAATGGAATAGCTAACATCTAGGGTTTAGTGTTCTCATAGGTAAAAATTGGGTCAATAATCAACCTTCCTTATAGGGCTATTGAGAAGATTAAATGTTATAATTTATATAAAGCTTTGGAACAGTGCCTCCTGTACATAGTAGGTGCTCAGTAAATTTATTGTTACAGTGCAATGAAAGTAAAGACTTTTTTTTTAAAGTTTATTTATTTTGAGAGAGAGCACATGAGCAGGGGAGGGGCCGGGAGAGAGAGAGAGAGAGAGAGAGAGAGAGAGAGAATCCTAAGCATACTCCATGTTGACAGTGCAGAGCCCAACGAGGCTCCATCTCCTGAATCGTGAGATCATGACCTGAGTCAAAATCAAGGGTCAGATGCTTAACTGACTGAGCCACCCAGGTGCCCTGACAGTAAAGACTTTCTAAGGAGTGCTGCTTGGAAATATTCCTTGAAAGTTAATTATACATCCAAATAAAATTTATAAATACATTGAAAATCTTAAGATGTTATGCAAATGTGAAGTGATATCTTTATATTCATGTAATAAATATAAAAGAATTGTGTGAAATGCACATTCTTATGTTGTCTTGTTTGTGTGCATGTTTGGCAGACATAGAAAGATTCTACAGCTTTTATTTTATCAGTAATATTTTGAATACTATACATTTCATTTCACACATGAAGAAGCTTGAAGAATTTTTTATTTTGTAGTGCGTTTTGGTAGCCTATCTACTATTGCTTATGGTATTTTCTAATGCTTTTCAGGGTTCTTTTTCTGCTGCATCTGAAAGCATGGGTAGCAAGAAGCTCAGAAGAGTGGGCTTATCACAAGAGCTGTGTGACCGTCTGAACAGACATCAAATTGTTACCTGTCAGGTAAAATTTATTTACTTTCTCACTAAGAAATTTTGAGTGCAAAAATTTTTTTAAATTTTATTATTTATTTTTTAAAATTTGCATCCAAATTAGTTAGCATATAGTACAACAATAATTTCAGGAGTAGGTTCCTTAGTGCCTCTGACCCATTTAGCCCATTCCCCCCTCCATTAACCCTCAGTTTGTTCTCCATATTTATGAGTCTCTTCTGTTTTGTCCCCCTCCCTGTTTTTATATTATTTTTGTTTCCCTTCCTTTATGTTCATCTGTTTGGTCTCTTAAAGTCCTCATATGAGTGAAGCCATATGATTTTTGTCTTTCTCTGACTGACTAATTTCACTTAGCATTATACCCTCCAGTTCCATCCACGTAGTTGCAAATGGCAAGATTTCATTCTTTTTGATTGCTGAGTAATACTCCATTGTGTGTGTGTGTGTGTGTGTGTGTGTGTGTGTGTGTGTGTGTGTGTGTACATACCACATCTTCTTTATCCATTCATCCATCATTGGACATTTGGGCTCTTTCCATACTTTGGCTATTGTTGATAGTGCTGCTATAAACATGGGGGTGCATGTGTCCCTTCGAAATAGCACACCTGTATCCCATGGATAAATGCCTAGTAGTGCAATTGCTGGGTCGTAGGGTAGTTCTATTTTTAGTTTTTTGAGGAACTTCCATACTGTTTAACAGAGTGGCTGCACCAGCTTGCATTCCCAGAGTACAAATTAATATTAAATATACCTTAATAACTCTTAAACCTGAAATATGAAAATTTAACTTTCTAAAAAAAAATGAATGATGGTGCTTCTCCATAGGCTATTTTAAAATAACAGGCTACTTGGGATGCCTGGGTGGCTCAGTCGGTTACAACTCTTGATTTTGGTTCAGATCATGATTTCAGAGTCTTAAGAATGAGCCCCTCATTAGGCTCCTGTGGGGCTTGGTGCTGGATGTGAAGCCTGGTTAAGATTCTCTCTCTCTTTCTGTCTCTGTGTCTCTCTGCCCTTCTGCCGCTTGTGCTCTCTCTCTCAAAAATAAAATAAAATAACAGGCCACTTAGGTTGTATCAAATGTGATTTCATTTACCTAAATTCCTATACTTTTGCTTGGGTCAGGGGAGAATGCTTATGGCATAATGTGAAGTATACTCGTGCTATTTATTTGGGATTCTAGAGAAGTTTCGTCGAATTGAAAGAGATTTTGCAGTTATATGAGAAATAAGACTCAAATGAAGAGACAGTATTCAAAATGGGTAATGTCTCTTGCAAGCAAGAGAAATTAATAGAATCCTTATCAATGTAATGAGAGAAATGTATAAAGCAGATGTTGCATTTTAGGCACAGTAGTGAAGCAGCTCCCTCTTAGGAGGTTAAATAAGTTTTAACATTTTTTGTTTGTTTGTTTGTTTTGTTTTTAATGTTTGTTTATTTTTGAAAGAGAGAGAAGGGGGGAGGGGCAGAGAGAGAGGGGGACAGATGATCCGAAGTAGGTTCTGTGCTGACAGCAGAGATCCCGATGTGGGGCTTGAACTCACAAGCCATAAGATCATGGGTCGAAGCCAGATGCTTAACTGACTGAGCCACCCAGGTGCCCCTAGACTTAATGTTTTATATTAGGATTTAATCCTTAATGAGACAGATTTTCAGAGCATACTACAATTTAAAAAAAACTGCTTTGTGTATTAATGGTATTTTTGGTTCCTCTATTATACATTTAATAATCCTCAGGGCGCCTGGGTGGCTCAGTCGGTTGAGTGTCCGACTTCGGCTCAGGTGATGATCTCACAGTCTGTGAGTTTAAGCCCCACGTCGGGCTCTGTGCCGACAGCTCAGAGCCTGGAGCCTGTTTCGGATCCTGTGTCTCCCTCTCTCTCTGACCCTCCCCCGTTCATGCTCTGTCTCTCTCTGTCTCAAAAAAATAAATAAAAATTAAAAAAAAAAAATCCTCATGTTCGTACTTGGAAACACTCTTAAAAGTATGAGATTTAACATTTCATTCCATAGTCTGTTTTATTGTCTCTATTAAATACTTTTCCTGAATGCTGTCATAGCTCAGTAAGAAACTCATTTCAACCTGACACTTTCTGGGTACTTGTGCCTAAACTGCAGCACAGGGCAGTGTTTATATACACCTAGGTTGGAGGCTGCTGCTATGTGAAGTTACTTGGTGTGACCTCTGGTATATGCTAACTGAATTAGAGAATTAGAAGATAAGATTATATCGTCATATCTTTTAGTTAAGTCATACATGGGGGAAATACTATAAGGAATATATAAATATTCAATCTGCAGTAAATTATGGGCAGTGTCCATTGAAAGTTTCCTTTTAATTCCAGTATCTTTGTTGCACATATATTTTAAAATATTCTTTTTATGTCTCTCTAGGACTTTTTATGTCTTTCCCCACTGGAACTTATGAAGATGACTGGCCTTAGTTATCGAGGTGTCCATGAACTTCTGTGTATGGTCAGTAGAGCCTGTGCCCCACAGATGCAAACGGTACATATACATATATACATATATATTTATATATATTATGTTTTGATTATGACTTATTTTGAGATGATCCTTTATCTCATTTAAAATATTTTTTTGGAGATGAGGCAAAATTAAAAATAGATATGAACATCTCAAAAATATTGATTCTTGGGGCACATGGATGGCTCAGTTGGTTGAGTGTCCAACTTCAGCTCAGGTCATGATCTCACAGTTCATGGGTGTGAGCCCGGCAATGGGCTCTGTGCTGACAGCTCAGAGCCTGGAGCCTGCTTTGGATTCTGTGTCTCTCTTCTCTCTCTGTCCCTCCCCCACTCATGCTCTGTTTCTCTCTGTCTCAAAAATAAATAAATGTTAAAAAAAATTAAAAAACATATTGACTCTTGGGGTGCCTGGGTGGCTCAGTTGGTTAAATGTCCAACTTCTGATTTCGGCTCAGGTCATGATCTCACAGCTTGTGGGCACTGATACCAGGAAGCCTGGTTGGGATTCTGTGTCTCCTTCTGTCTCTGCCTCTCTTTCTCTCTCTCTCTCTCTCTCTTTCTCTTTCTCTCAAAAATGGAGGAATAAACATTAAAAAAAATATTGACTCTTACACCATAGGACTGGTCCTTAAATGAGAATATATGTGAAAAATTTATGTAGTTTGTAAGCTCATGGGAGACAGTTCCTAAAAATGGAATGAGGAAGCAACAGGAAGTTTTTTTTTTTTTTCTGTAGCCAATATTGATATTTCAGAAGGTCATCTTTGTCTTTTATTTGTTTGCATAGGATTTGTGTATTTCATGGTTAAATTATAATACACTCATAATTTTAGAATGCCCTTGTCTCTGTAATACCAACTTTTATTATCATCAGTCTACATTATAAAGCACACATAGTGGATTTACACTGCTCATTGATTGAATAAATAATACTTTAAAACTTTTCTCTCTCTTGAGAAAGTTAAAAGTCTTTTATAACAAATTCTCATCAAGTACGATTATTTCATACTTTCTGTGTCATAATGTTAGCTTTTCAAAATGTAGGTTTGGTGCGTGGTAGAAAAGATCTTGTTTTCCCAGAATAAGAGTGCCTAGAAGTCAGTGCACTTCAGTGCTTTGCAAATGTATTTATTTAGGTGGATTGTAGATTACTTACCTTACTATCTTATATTGAAATTTGGTAACCACTGAGCAATAAAGTGGAGTTCAATTCTGTGAAGTAGGAAGGAAGGGATGTTAGTGTCATTTGAAACTTCTGAAATTAATGAATAGATAAAAATATTTCCTTTTGTTCAGATTTAGCTTGTGATCTAAGAAAATACTTCAAAGCCAGAATAGTCAGAAGGAGAATTCAAATCAGAGTTAGGAATTGGCACTGTCTTAGCTTTGTCATTGACCTTGGAGCTTTGAATAGCTCACTTTATTTTATGGGAGAAGTAAGAGAACTAAGATAGTGATGATTCTGTGATGAGGTTTAAATTAACTTGTTACTATTTTGAAGGTTGTAAAGCACCAACAAAGTGTTTTAATTTGAGGTATGTCATTCTATGTGTTTGGTCAATACCTACGTCATGTTTCTAGTTAGAGAATTAAATAAGAGAGCATGGGGAGGAAATTCACTTCTGGGCTCCACTTGCACCACCACTTCAGCTGTGGTATCAATACCACCAAAGCCACCAAAAAGATGGCTTCTTGAGCTCGCATTTGGAATGCAGTGTCAATACCATTCCAAATGTGAGCTCAAGAAGCCATCTTTTCCCTTTGTTGTGCATTCACTCTTGTAGGATTCTTTAGATTTGAGTCTTGTGTTAAACATTGGCTTAGCCTTAGTTCATTTTTCCAGGGAAGAGTCTTTTGTTCAGTTATATATTACTTGAATTAGTATTTATTGAGTGCCAGTCATGTGGCAGGTACTCTGTCAGGTCCTGGAGATATTAGAGTGAGCATGGTAATGTTCCTCATGCAGCTTACAGTCTAGTGGGAGAAGTCAGACATTAAACACATAATTACATAAATGATTAGTTGTAGTAATGATAAGTCCTATGAAGGAAAATTATAAAAAGCTCTGAAACTTAATAACAAGGAACATTACTTAGTTTAGGGGTCAGGAAGGTCTCCTCCAAGGAAGCAACACTTCAGCTAAAACCTGAAGGATGGATAGGGGAGAATTAGGCCAAGTTGAGAAGGGATGTGAGCAGAGAGGAGTTTGCAGGCAGTGGAAGCAGGAAATGCAAAGGCCCTGTGAAGAGAAGGAGCATATGCTTTCATGGCAGTAAAATCAGGCTGGTGTGGATGGAACATAGCAGTGAGGAACAGAGTGGCCTCAGAGGTGAAGTCAGAGAAGTGAGCAGGAGTCAGATCATGGGGCCTGCAGACCATGTAAAGGATTTCAGACTTTATTCTGCGTGCAATGAGAAGTCATAAAAGGGTATAATCTAATATGTATATTTAAAAAGTCAGTCTTGAACGTAGACAAGTGATTGAAAAGGAGCAGGGAAATATTGATGAAGACCATCTAGGTATCTATTCCTGTATTCTAAACAGAAAGTGATCGTGACATGGATTGTTAGTATGGTGTTAACCCAGATGGCATAATGTCAGTTATGATGAAAGATAATTTAGGAGGTACAGTGAAGAGGACTGGTGATTGTTTGGCTGTGGGTGGTGATGAGGTACAGGAAAGTGACAGATGATTCCTTGATTTTTGCTTTAGGAAACTGGGTAGTACCACTTCCTGAGATAAGGAATGCTGTAAGAGTGTCAGGCTTGAGGGAGGCATAATTTACTACTTGTTGAATGTGAGGTGCTTGTGAAACATCAATTGGAGATGCAAACAGGCAGTTAAATATATGGGCCTGGAGTGTGAAGGAGACGTCTGTAGTAAAAGTATGCATTTGGGAGTCATCAGTGTAAATATGGTAATGAGATAAGCATATCCAAGACCAAGTCCTGAGTGAAGTCTGCATTTTAAGATCAGATTAGATAATGATGAGTCTAAGAAGAAGCAGCCACCAAAGTAGAAGAAAAACTGGTGGAGTATCATAATAAGATACTCCTTTTTGTCTCATTTATGTACATACTATAATTTCTGAAGTCTTATTCTGTTTGTTCATTTTAGTCTTTGTGTCACTAAATCTATTGTGATTAGTGCATTTAACCGTTGCAAAGGAAATACTTTAATTTTGACAGATTGGGCTGCCTTTACATGTTTGATAAAGTGTCCCCAGGCCCACTGATGTTGCCTGATGATAGATTGTAGACAATATTGAGGCATTTCTAAATCAGATGCATACCACATGACTTTGTTCTGTAGCTTTTCTGTTTTTTTTTTTTTAATGTAGCTGAATGTAGCCTTAGAAAAATGTGATAACCCAAGGTTTAACTGATCTAAGAATTTAATGGGTGAGATTACACAGGAGTCATCACATTTATAACTCATAAATATTAATATATTTAATATGCTGGTCTTCATACCTCCTCACAGAAGCAGAAGAGCCTTGAATTTGATATATAGATTTATTAAACTGTAAACTTTAAGTTGTTAGAAACTATCTGTTTGGTACTATTATATTCCCAGAGTTTATCATAGTATATGGTATACAGTAGGTACTCAGTATCTGTGGAATGAATGAATGAATGAATGGTTCTATGTTGAATGAATAGTTCTATGGCTTGACCACAGTTTATTTGGGCAATTTAATAAAATACTAGTAATTTTTAACGTTATAAATTGCAGAGGCAAACATTCTTAAACATTGCTGGGTATGAAGTCACATTAATCACATCTGTAAAGGCCCTTTTTCAAAATAAGGTAACATTCACAGTTTCCAGGGATTTGATGTGGATATCTTTTGGGGCACCACATCTCAGCCTACCATAGCTATCTTCAACTATTCTTCACAGACTAACCTTGGTTTGAAATGAAAACTTGAGCATGTCATTCCTTGTTGCTCTCAGTGTAGACTCCAGACTTCAACAAGGCTCTTTCATGATTTGTCTCTTGCTTATTTATCCAGCCTCATCACTTGCCCCACTGTGATCACACACCCATCTTTCAACCATTCTGAATGAACTCTTTATTTTTTGTGGTTTTTATTAGTTCCCATTTTTTCCCTTTCTTTGTATATTCTGTCTCTTTGGCAGGAACATGCACATTTCCTTTGCTTAACAGCTATTTCACATTTTAGCTCAGACATCTAGCTTTTGCATGAAGTCTTCCTAGATCACAAAATCTAGATCAGGTCTACTGTTCCTGTGTTTCCACTTTCTCTGTCACAATATCTCTAATAATTGTATGGTGACTGTCTGGTTTCCAGTCCTGGTTTCAATTGCTGGGTGACTATACATACTGTGAGGGCAGGGGTTCTGTCTATTCTATCATAGCCCCATTGTCTAGCACTGTCTCTGGGCATGGATTGAATATTTGTTTAACAAATAAAAGTTTGAGGAAAAAAGAGATGGGTTTGGGTTCCAGCTGCTAGAAATTGAAGTTTGGATTTGGTTTCTGTTTTTGAATAAACAGGGATATTGAAAAGATCATTTTCTTTTTCTTGTGTAGGCTTATGGGTTAAAGATGCAAACATCTGCCTCTGTCTCACCAGTGTTCTTAGCTACAACTCTTTCTGCGTTGGATGAAGCCCTGCATGGTGGAGTGGCTTGTGGATCCCTCACAGAGGTAAAGGAGAAACTTTCCAAACCTCCCATAGACCTATAACCTTCAGAGCCAGGGGAAAAAGTTTAGTTGAAAAACATAAATTATTTTGTACCTCAAGGGCATGGTTCTCCACTCAGTACCTAGTACAGTTGCTTTGCAAAAATATAACGTTTGAAACATTCCTTGCTGACCACCTGAAGTCTCCTTAGGTTGCTGTTTCTTCAACTTAGAAAATGATGAATATTCAACTGAAGTGAGCTATTTTTAGTTTCCACCGTAGATACATTTTGGTTCTGTGATAGGTTGTTGTGTTAGTTATGTCTTGTTGCACAACAAATTACTTCAAAACTAAGTGACTTAAAACAATAATTAACCTTTATTATTTCTGTTGATTTGGGAGTGGCTTAGCTCATAGATATCGGTGAGGGATGCGGTATGTTGAAGTCTTGGTGGGGCTGGAGAATATTTTCAAGGGAGCTCACTCACGTGACTGGGAAGTTGATGGCGGTTGTTGGCAGGTCACAGTTCCTCTACAAGTGGTGTCTCCACAGGCTGCTTGAGTTCCTCATTCCATGATGGCTGACTTCCGCTAGGGTGAGTAATCCAAAAGAAGGCAAGGTGGAAGTGGTCATGCTTTTGATGATTTAGCTGTGGCAGTTACACATCATAAACTTCTGCCACATTCTCTTCCTTAGAAGCAAATCATTAAATACAACTCATGTTCAAGGAAAGAGAAATTTGACTCTACCTTTTGAAAGAAGTGTCAAGAATTTGAGGACTTTTTTTTTAATTGAATAAGTGTGACATGTAACATTGTGTAAGTTTGAGGTTTTCATCGTATTACTTTAATACATTTATATATTATAATATTGCTGATACAGCAGTATTTACAACATTACATAATTATAGTACAATGTTATTGTCTATATTCGTTATACTGTGCATTAGATCTCTATGGGTTATTTACTACTCGTTACAAGTTTGTGCCCTTAAACACCATCACTCTTATCTTCCCACTGCCTCCCCCTGTTAACCACCATTTTACTCTGTTTTTTTTTTTTTACAAGTTTAACTTTTTTAGATTCCACATGTAACTGATATATAGTATGTTTCTTTCTCTGACTTACCTTGCTTGATATAATGTACTCAGTGTCCATCCATGTTGTTGCAAATGGGAGGATATCTTCCTTCCCTGTGGCTGAATAATATTCCATTGTGTATATATGCCGCACTTTTAAATCCATTCATCTGTTAACGGGCATTTAGATTGTTTCTGTATCTTGGCTATTGAGAATTCTGCTGTGATAAACATTGGAGTGCAGATATCTTGATGAAATACTGTTTTCATTTCTTTTGGGTATATATCCAGAAGTGGAATTGCTGAGTTGTATGTGGATCTAGTTTTAATTTTTTGAGGAACCTCTATATTTTCCATAGTGAGATTGGAGACTTTCCCAAACCACCACAGTTCTTTTACTTGCAAGCTGCATTGGTGTGGTGAGTTGATGGACTTACCAGGATGCTCTGGAGGAACTTCTTGCTTAAGAGTTCTAGGGGCACAGATACTTTACACAAACTTCTAAGCAAGAGCAGACTCTTAACATTCTGATAGTCATAAATTTAACTGTATATATATATATTTGAAGATGGGGACTCTGTTTTAGATACTATACCTTATTTTATGCCCTGTATTCTGAGAAAGATTTAAAAATGTGTGTGTGCTATACTTGGTAGGTGCCTATTAGATAATTGGTGAATGGACCCTCTTGCACTGTTGGTGGGAATGCAAACTGGTGCAGCCACTCTGGAAAACAGTGTGGAGTTTCTTCAAAAAATTAAAAATAGATCTACCCTATGACCCAGCAATAGCACTGCTAGGAATTTACCCAAGGGATACAGGAGTGCTGATGCATAGGGGCACTTGTATCCCAATGTTTATAGCAGCACTTTCAACAGTAGCCATATTCTGGAAAGAGCCTAAATGTCCATCAACTGATGAATGGATAAAGAAATTGTGGTTTATAAACACAATGGAATACTACTTGGCAATGAGAAAGAATGAAATATGGCCTTTTGTAGCAATGTGGATGGAACTGGAGAATGTTATGCTAAGTAAAATAAGTCATACAGAGAAGGACAGATACCATATGTTTTCACTTTTATGTGTATCCTGAGAAACTTAAGACCATGGTGGAGGGGAAGGAAAAAAAAGAGAGGGAGGGAAGCAAACCATAAGAAACTCTTAAAAACTGAGAATAAACTGAGGGTTGATGGGGGGTGGAAGGGAGGGGAGGGGGGTGATGGGCATTGAGGAGGGCACCTGTTGGGTTGAGCACTGGGTGTTGTATGGAAACCAATTTGACAATAAATTTCATATTAAAAAAAAAAAGAGAGAGAAAACAAGAACCTGCTGTTGTAGGGTCCTGCCACCAGATGGTGCCATAATCCTACTATTGTACCTAATCTTTATGCACTCTAGCTGGACCTCTGCTCAAATGAGTTTATAACAACAGTATTCTACAGTTATAAACATACTAAATAGCAAAAACTGAGCTTAAGAAAGATTAACCCACAGATACTTTATCTTTTTTAAGTTTTAGAATAATTTTTAATGCATTTTCATTTGGCTTTTGTCAATTCTTTCTGAATCCAAGGGGTAGTTAAAAACCATTTTGTCATGATCTGCTTGGCTGACTTGGAGCATAAATACTCAGACTGCTTATTAGGGGCAAGTTCTATATTTTCTGTTTCAGTTACAGGTAGCCTCTTCTGTTATTTTGGGATTTTTTTTTCACTGAGTACAGAGTATTTCTGTTTACCTTTTATTAACAAAATTTTAATGTGTATTTTATGTATATAGGAGGAACTATATCCTGCATGTGTAAGTTATGAAGCCTTATGACCCTATGACTTAATAAGAACCAGAACAATACTGACACTATTGAAGCTAACTGTGGGCTTCTCCCTGATCCTATCTTTGGCCTTCTATTGACACGTAATCTTTATCTTGAGTTTTTACCATTCCAATAATTTTTTCCTTATAGTTTTCTTTTACTGGATGTGCACTTAAATACGAGATATAAAAACAGTTTATTTAGTTTTATTTTTGAGCTCTATTAAATCATATATCTGTGATTAAATCCTATCATATTCTATGAATTACTTTTTTCATTTAATGGTGTTTTCTAAGATTTATCCATGTTGTTTCAGGTAGCAAGAGTATAATTCATTTTCACTGCTGTGTTATATTCCATTTTGAAAATAGGCCCCAATGTAGTTATCTTTTTTCCTGTTAGTGAACATTTGGGTTGTTTACAGTTTGGTGCTAATAGAAACAAGTCCTATGAAAATTGTTGTACATGTCTCCTGGATTGCATGTACAGGTATTTCTCTAGGGCAGGAAGTGGTAAACTACTGCTCAGTGATCAAATCTAGCTTGATGTCTGTTTTTATAAATAAAGTTTTATTGTAATACAGCTATGCTCATTTGTTTATGTTTTGTCTGTGGCTGTTTGCTTGATAGAAAGCAGAGTTGCATTAGGTGTGGCAAAGGTCTGATGGTCTGCAAAGCCTAAAATTTTTTTTTTTAAATTTTTTTTTTTCAACATTTATTTATTTTTGGGACAGAGAGAGACAGAGCATGAACGGGGGAGGGGCAGAGAGAGAGGGAGACACAGAATCGGAAACAGGCTCCAGGCTCTGAGCCATCAGCCCAGAGCCCGACGTGGGGCTCGAACTCACGGACCGCGAGATCGTGACCTGGCTGAAGTCAGACGCTTAACCGACTGCGCCACCCAGGCGCCCCAGCAAAGCCTAAAATTTTTAATATCAAGCCCCTGTCTAGGGTATCTATGTTGGAGTGATTTTCTGGTAATAGGGTATGTGCATAATGTAACTTCGCAGAATCAGGACAAATTGTTTTCCAGAGTGGTTGTACCTAAACAGATATATTCCTACCAGTGATGTGTAGGAATTCTTCTTGCTCCATATCTTCTTGCCTTGGTATTATCAGACTTTAAAACTCATGCCCATCTTTGGCATCTGTGATCTTAGTTTTCATTTTCCTGATTACTAATGAGCTTGAATATCTTTTTTGTTTTAAGTTTATTTATTTATTTTGAGAGAGACAGAGACAGCACTAGTGGGGGAGGGACAGAGAGAGGGAGAGAGAGGATCCCAAGCAGGCTCTGTGTTGCTAGCATAGAGCCCAACGTGGGGCTCGAACTCATGAAACTGAGATCATGACCTGAGCTGAAACCAAGAGTTGGACGCTTCACTGACTGAGTCACCCAGGCGCCCTGAATATATTTTCATAAATCGTTTGGTTACGGTATTTTATTTTTTCAAGATTTTTAACAAGTAATCTCTATACCCAATGTGGGGCTTGAACTTACAACCCCAAGGTGAAGAATCTCATGCTCCACTGAAGGAGCCAGTCAGGCACCCCTCATTTGATTATTTTAAAGAACAATTTTATTAAGGCACAATTTAAATGCTATAAAAATTCAACCATTTTAAATTGTATAATTCAACTAATTTGCTAACTTCATAATAAATCATCACCACAATATCATTAGAACATTTCTGTCATTGTAAAAATTTCCCTCATGCATATGTATAGGTTAATTCCTGCTTCCATTCTCAGTCCTGGGCACCCACTGATCAATTTTCTATCTCTATATATTTGCCTTTTCTAAACATTTCATACAAGTGGAATCATATGTAGTCTTTTGTGTTTGGTTTCTTTCACATAGCATGATGTTTTTTTTTTTTAATTTTTTTTCTTTAATTTTTTTTTAATGGTCATTTATTTTTGAAAGAGACAGAGACAGAGTGTGAGCAGGGGAGGGGCAGAGAGAGAGGGAGATACAGAATCCAAAGCAGGTTCCAGGCTCTGAGCTGTCAGCACAGAGCCTGACGCGGGGCTTGAACTCATGAACCATGAGATCATGACCTGAGCTGAAGTTGGATGCTCAACCGACTGAGCCACTCTGGCGCCCCCTTTTTTAAAATTTTTTAAT